ATAAATAAATTTATAAATTTATTTATTTATAATGAGAGTGTGAACTCATGACCTTGCTCTTTCAAGGCAGGCATATTGCTACTGAGCTAAATCCCTAGCCCTAAACTGGGTTTTTAGAAAAATTTCTTAAATTTGACTTTACAAATCATGACAAATCTTTCTTCAACTTTTCCAATGGAGATCTATAGACTTTTATGCTAATATAAAACAAGGTCACATCTCCAAAAGTATAAGATAAATCCACACTTGGAAACTGTCCAACTATATAAGTTAAAGCCATAATCAGTTTAGCAAATTTCCTGTAACTAGTATAATACCAAATAGGTGGACCTTAACTTTTATTTATTTATTTTTTAAAAGTTTAGTTGTCATTTCATAGGTGGTACATTTAAGGTATACAATACTGACATTCATCATTGGAAATTTACACCTTTATATAATCCATCTTGGTTCTTATTTTTTCCCCATTCTCCTGCCCTCCCTTCAACCCCTTCCCAATTTAGAAAGAGGATCTTAATTTTTAAAAGCTAAGCTGCTGCCTTCTTGTAAAATTTTTTCATAAAGTTTCCTCCTATACCTTTTTTGCTCCTTGCCACTAACTCTGATCTCTTTTAACTCTTGCAGTTTTGCCTCCGGTATTAGTGCCACGGCACACTGAGATTCTAACAGAGCTACCACCTCTGGATGATTATACCCACTCCATTCCAGAAAACACTAATTTCCCAGCGGGAATTGAGCCACAGAGTAATTACATCCCAGGTACTTTTGCTTTCTGGATCTACTAAAACTTAAGAAAAAAAATTCTGTGACAAACACTAGGGCTTTAGTAAGTCATAGTTTCACTCTTTAAAAATGCTCCTGGGTTTTATGATAGAAAAGTCTGATATAATGGGTAATTGTTTTATGAAATATACAAGCCCAGTACAATAAACAGTTTTGTTTGGAGACAAGATTTACTTTATACTACATTTTCTTTTGATCTGGCTTTGGGAAGCAGAAAAGAGGTTAGTAAATTTGTCTTAGTTGTTGAAGCTGAGAGAGATAACAGAATATAAATAAAATAGTACAGGAAAAGAAATCTCTGAAACAAATATATCTAAAAATCTACCAAAGAATTGCTTTTTCTTGGGAATTTGATAATGTTTAAGATAAATGTAGTATTTTTAATACTGGGCTGCAATTCTTACATCTCATGACCAGGCAGCTCTGATTTGAATTCAGTCCAACCAACTTGAACTACTGGAGGATGGTATATGCATGACTGTCCTATTGGGTGGCTTGTACAAATGAATCTGGTCACTTTTATCAATCTTTATAATAAAATTAATAAAAAGTCTGTAAATGGATCAAATGTATTTAGTCGCTTGAATTTTCTGCTCAAAGGAACAGTCATACATATACCACTGGTGGTTCAAGCAGGAGAGGATGTGTTAACAAGATGTACTATTTTAGTCCTATAGGTGGATCAACGTATACGTTATTCTGAAAAACAAAACTTTCATTTTTGTTTGTTTTTCATGGACCTCAGTAGCTCCTGATGAGAAATAACTTCAGCTACATGATTCTTAAATGTTTTTGTCTTATATCATGTGATCCAGCAATATAGCACAACACTTGCCCTTTTAGTTTTTACTATTTTTTAGAACAGTTTTTAATTTGTTACTTCACTTGTGCATTTCATTTTGTTTTTTCCCTAGCAGAAACAGGATGGAGATCAAGCTGTGTGCTGGATTTTTAATGTCTCAGTTTTTTTCCCTCTTATCTAATGTTGCTCTATGCTACCCTTATTTTATAACTAAAAATATATAATGAACCTAAGAATTTTAAGCGTATTTGAAAAGTACTTCTTTAATGTGAAACCAGTGCTTGTTCATTTAGAGACAGTTTTTTAAATAGCAAAATTTATTTATTTATTTAAAAAACTTAGTTTTACAGATGGGAAATGATTTCTGGTTGTTTTAAGTTCTTTATCTACTGTTTTATTCCAAAAGAGCTTCAAGGCTTTTGGGTTTGTTTTGGGTTTTTTTGTTTTGGTTTTGGTCTTTCGGTTTTTGCTTTTTTGTCCTAGGGATTAAATCCAGGGCTTTCATACAAAGTTACATCCTCAGCCCTCATTTTTTTCATTTTGAGATAAGGTCTTAAGTTGTCCAGGCTGAGCATAAAGTTGTTCTCTTGCCTTGGCCTTACAGAATGCTAGGATTACAGACAAACACCATCACCACTGAACTAAAAAGCTGCTTTTTAGGATGCTGGTAAATGAATTCTTTACGGAGTTAGGAGAAAAAGGTGGGGGTAGAGTATGGTGAAGAAGGATGAAGGAAAATAGAGTGATGCAACAAAACATTTCCTGGACAAAAGAGATTAATCTTTGTGAGAGTTTGGCAATGTATTTCACGTATGTAATCCCAGTACGTTGAGAGGCCGAGGTAGGTGGGATATAAATTCAAGCCCAGCCTGGACAATTCAGTGATTTATTGTGACTCAGTCTCAAAAAAATTGGGGGATAGGCTGGTCCTGGGTTCAGTGTCCAGTATGGACATGGGGGTAGTGGGGCTGGCGGTGGTGTGTGTGTGTGTGTGTGTGTGTGTGTGTGTGTGTGTGTGTTTATGATGAAGCATGAAGGCATTTTAAGGTTTTGACATTGAATTACTGTTACTAAACAATACTAGCAAACTAACGTTTAAGTGTACAATTTTGTAAGACACATTCCTGATATTTATTTGTAAGGATGTTATTCAGAATTTTAGTAGCCTTCACGTGAAGATGTTTGGGCTTGTTTTTTTAGTTCTTTATCCTGTTACGTAGATTTGAGTATTTATAAAAATCAGAAGTGAATCAATCATATCTATTGGTTTTGCTGGACCCGTAAGGTTTTATCTAGCTCAAGTAACAGTGACTCAAAGAGTTCACTTTTTGTTCCACCTGAAAAGAAATCTTAACCTTTTTCTAAAATACTAATAACTTTATGATTCATGTGTAGATAAGCAATAGAGAAAAATAAATACAATTTTTAAAAAGTTGAGTGTTTTTGAGCCATATGTGGTAATACACACTTGTAATTATAGCACTTTTGAAGGTTGAGGCAAAAGGATCTCAAGTTTGAACTCAACCTGGGTACCTCAGCAAGACCCTGTTTCAAAAAAAAAAAAACAAACTGGGGGTGTAGCTCAGTATGAAGGCCCTGGGTCCTATTGGTATCATAATACCACACACACACACAAAATTTTTTTTAGTCTTTCTTCTTAGATCTTTGAGAAGTTTACAGTTAAACTAGCAATGTTTAATCCTGTTTAATTTTATTAGCTTTATCCTTTAAAACAGTGCAAAATGGTATGAATTATTTTTGTTATTGTTTTGGTATTTTCTTAAAATTTCAGTATTGAAGTTTCTGGGGGTACTGACACAAATGAAAAGTTTAATACTTTAAAGTTATGATTAGTATATTGAAGGTAGATTTAAATGGTTAGTGGAGCAAGTCTGTGAACCACATTTTCCCTCCCACCTGTTTTGCAATTACAAAATCTTTTTTAGGTGTCTGGCTGCATTATTTTGAGTTGCTTAAAATGAATGTAAATGCTAAACTGTTGAAAATCTTTTGAACTTATTTTTTCCTCTTTAAAATTATCAGTGATGACATTGTATAATGTTTTTATTTTTTATGAGGTTCATTTGGCTGTTCCTGTGCCTCCTGCACATAAACATTTTGTTCAGAAACATGTTGGAAATGTTGGAATCCTAATGTTTATTTTTAGGGGGAGTTAATGCCTCTTTTATGAAGTAATTTAGACTTCAATTTTCTACTTCAGACAAAATTTATAAGTTGGAAATCCCTGGAAAAGTAGTTTTTAGGTAGAATTCAGGCTAAACTAGTCCTGAACAATATTACTGTAATTTGTCTTATGAAACTTAGTGTATGATGTATGCCTGTGTTATTCTTTATAATCTGAAATTTGTGTGTATGTGTGTATGTTCTTTAATTTCCTGTACCCATCCATGATGTCCATTAGTTGGAAAAAAAAGTTTTATTTTAGGGTAGTAAGGTCTTTGAAGCCTAATGATTTGAGAACTAAGGCATCTTTGAAGTTGTATTCCTGGCTCTTGGCCCAGAATATATACATACAGAAAGGGACAGATTGATAAATAAGCTAGATTATATAAAATGTAGAATTTTAAAATTCATCTGCAGAATATGGGTCAAAACCTGAATTGTAAGCCCTTAGTCTAATATTTCTTTTTATAGAAATAATCATGTGCATTGTATTTGGAGTGATTAATTGGTTATATTTGGTAGCTGGGTGAAGGGTAGTGAAATTATATCACACCTGTATGTCATTTGTCCTAACCTTTTGTAGAAACACCACCACCTGGATATATCAGTGAAGATGGAGAAACAAGTGATCAACAGTTGAACCAAAGTATGGACACAGGTAAAAAAAAAAAAGAAAATTTCTTATAAAATTCTATAGTGATCAGATATACAGTCAGCCCTGTATATCTACAGATTCAAAATTCCTGGATTCAACCATCCACAAATTAAAAATATTTGAGAAAAAGTTACCTATGTACTGAACATGTGCAGACTTTTTTTTGGTTTTATTTTTATTGATAAACAGTACAATATAACAATATAATATAATTTTTCTTCCATAACAGTGCAATATATGGCATTTACTGTGCCATTTTATATATGGGATTTGAGTATCTGTAGGTTTTTTTGATATCTCAAGAGGATTTTGACCTTTTGTTGTTTAAAACTCAAGAGGGTTATGTCTCTTAAATTTAGAGAAGTTAGAAATACAGTGGACACTTGACTTATGAACTCAGTTCATTCATGAGGGCTGGTTGTAACTCAAGTTGGCCAATTGAAGGTCAGGCTCCTCTACACATCCTTCAAAGTCTCTCTGGTATACAGGCATGTTTCATTGTCCTTAGACATTGGCTCAGGATTTCTCAATTAACCACACACAGGAAAGGATGTTATCATGTTGCTTCCAGAATGCTTTTAAGGATTAAATCTGTATCTGAGACTGTCTGGAAACATAAGTGGCTGGCATTCAGACCACAACTCAAGACTTTTCCAATGATAACCCAAGTTGGTTCATATGTTGAGGCTGGTCATGACTCAAGGGTCCAATGTACACTAAAGAGTCTTTTGATCTTGATTTTAACCATATCTGAACCATCAAAGGGAACCATGTTGTCATTACAAAAGAATATACACTACTCTGCAAATAATAAGACTTTTTTATCATTAGAGTGAATGAAAAATTGATAACATTCACATGCTTTTATTCCTTAGTAAGTTTTGTGTACTTCTGTGTGAAATTTTTGTTGCCCCTTGAATAAATGTTTGTGACAAAAAGACTAATTAGCCCACATTTTCAGAGGAATTCAAGGGTATAGAAGGTAGAGAACTTTTTAGTGATCATTCAACTTAATGCGTAGCAAATTCTGGATTATAGTAGTTTATTTGTACAAAATACTCATACCTAATCTAATTTGATTAATTTCTGGTATTGAGCTGTTATGTCCAAACAATGATGGGGAATAAGGTACAACATATAATAAATATTGCACATATCAAAGCTTTAAGGCGGTTATATAATAAAAATGTAGAACTCAGCAGAACTTGTAGTGTTATCAGGGAAATCATTTTGATGTTATTGAAATTATCCAGTTTAATTCACTCTGTCTGTTAAGGATTGGACATCTTAATAATGACTTCTCAACAAATTCTACCATCAACCTGTTTATTTTATAGTAACACATTTCACATTTATGATCTAAATTATTTTTAAATACATTAACATTGGCAAGGAAAAGGGCTTTTAGAATAATTCTGCTGCTTGAATACTTTTTTTTTCCTCCTTTATGATGCCTTGGTAGCTAATTGTATTTATGGTTATTAGGCACAGTAGATAATCCAATGATCATTGGAAATAGCGTGTTACACATTTTAGTACCGGGGATTGAACTCAGGTCCTTGCGCTTGTGAAGCAGTGGCCGGAACCACTGAGCTAAATCCCTGGCCCACCGTGTTACACATTTTAATGCACGTGATAGTTGGATTTCTAAATATGTCTTCTTAACACTCCTGGATACTAGTGAACTCTGTTGTTGAATCAGTGTTTTTTGTTCTTTTGTGATGGATAGCTATTACTGAGACGGTTAAAAGGAAATAGCATGAAAAGTAGCTGAACATTATAAATCATCATGAAATGCTACTTACACTCACTACATGTCTGTATTCAAAAAAGCACTAGCAAGTATTGGTGAGGATACGGAAAAACTGGAATCCTTTTATATTGCTGGTAGAAATATAAAATGGCTTGTCCACTTTGCAAAAGTTTGCTAGTCTTCCAAAAGTTAAATATGTTTACATAGAACTCAGCAATTTCACTTCTAGGTCTAGACCCAAGAGAAGTTTAAATAGGTCCATACAAAAACTTGTATACAAATACAAATGTAAACTAAGCATTAACCATAGTGGAAACACCCGTACGGATAAATAAAATGAGATGTGTTGCTGTAACAGACTTTAACCATGTAAAGGAGTGATCATTACAGTATAAAGTGTGACAACGTGGCATGACCTTGAAAGGTTTATGTTAAAGGAGCCAGAAAATGCCACGGGGATCTGAGTTAGTGCACAAATACCTATTTAATAATGTAACTAAAGCACAGAAGGACCAATAAGATGAATATAATTTTTCCTTATGGTAAATGAGACAAATTTTTTAAAGATACAAGCAGTTCAGTCAGTTCCTGACCTCAGCGTTGGGGCTAGTGTTGAAATCTCACTTAAGAGTTTTAATTCTGTTTCCGTGGGGGCACTGTTAGCAACATGACTTTCAGAATGACACATTTACAATTACTTGATATAATGACAATATGATACCTCATTCATGATGTGCTGAAAGTTATCTTACTACCAGTCTCTTACCCACCTTCATTTCTTGTCTCAGTGCCATGGCAAGAAAGACAGCCTGGCAAGGTGCAATGAAATATATCTGTAATCTCAGTTGCTCAGGAGGCTGAGGCCAGAGGATAACTGTGCCTAGGAATTCAAGGCCAGTTTGGGCAAAGCCTTTTTTCAAAAGGGGGGAAAAAAACGAATAAAAGAAGAAAAAAATAGATTTGATGGATGCAAGGTCCCAATTTAGAATAAATTTTGCTTGCCCTCTTAACCCTGGTTCATGGCTTCCCTGGAAAAGGACATGATTAAATCCATTTCAACACCCAGTTGGGACAGAATGAATTAATATTTTCTTTAAAAGCAGCCAGAGTGCAGACTGGTGCAACCACTATGGAGATCAATATGAAGATACCTCAAAGAGCTGGGACTAGAGGTTCCATTTGACCCAGCCATCCCTCTGCTGGGTATCTTTCCAAAAGAATTAAAAGAAATATCACAGTGAGTGCAGACTGGTGCAACCACTATGGAGATCAATATGAAGATACCTCAAAGAGCTGGGACTAGAGGTTCCATTTGACCCAGCCATCCCTCTGCTGGGTATCTTTCCAAAAGAATTAAAAGAATCATATCACAGTGATATACGCACACCTATGTTTATAGCGGCACAGTTTGTAATAGCTAAGACTTGGAAACAGCCCATTTGCCCATCAGTTGGAAACTGGATAAAGATGATGTGGTTTTTCTATAAAATGGAATAATAGCCATAAAGAATGAGAAATTACATTCATTCATAGGAAAACAGATACATATTGAGGATATACTCCTAAGTGAAATAAGTCACACGTGTGTAAATACCGAATAGTTTCTCTGGTGTGAAAAACTGTAATACAGTACATAAGATACTAATGAGATAATTGACAGTGTGAAATAGGAAGAAAAGGGCTAAAGGTGTAGGGAAGTGGAAGGGTAGGGGAAAGGAAATAAGGCAAAAGAAAAAACAGGAGAAAATGGAAATAAAGTGTTTGTTAATGGGGAGGGGAGGAGGGGGTGAAGGGAGAGCAGGGACAAGGGGAAAAAAATGAGAACCAAGACGTGTCATGTAAAGGTACAAGATCCCAATAATGAATGTAACTGTACTGTATACCTAAAATGTACCAATAAACTCAATGAGGAAAATGAAGCAGCTAGAGAACAATTTGAGCAGAGTAAGAAACTATGAACAAACACCTTCTCCTTTTCTTTTTAAAAAGTTTTCTCTATTCAAGCCTGTATTCTTCAGTTAGAGTCTTGTGGACATTAGCGATCAGATTGAATATCATGAGAAATCTAAACATTTGATCACCTTTTCCTTTGTAGTATTTTGTAACCTTTTTCAAATCTTGCTGAATTTTATAGACGTTTTCAAATGAGTACATAGAGAAATGAATGACTCTTGAGATGTTCATTCTGTGAATCATAATTCAAGTCTGTATTTTCTAGATTTGCTTTCCTTGGTCCATCATATACAAAGAAGTAGATTTAAAAGGGTTTTGAAGTTGAGGATGATAGCGCACACCTGTAATCCCAACAGTCTGGGAGGCTGAGGATGATTGCAGATTTAAGCCTTGAGGGTGGGCAGTTGAGTGACTTAATGAGACCTTGTCTCAGAATTTTAAAATTTTTAAAAGGGTAGCCCAGTGAGAAGGCCCTGGGTTCAATCCCCAGTACCAAAAAGGAAAAGGGGGATAGGGGCTTGAATTTGTACCTATCAGTGTGTTGAACTGGGTATCCCAAAGGATATGTTAAAGTCCTACCCTCTTGTGCCTCAGAGTGTGATCTTATCCAGAAGTAGTCTTTGCAGATGTAATTATTTAAGATAAAGCCATATGGGAATATCATGGGCCCCTCATTCTACATGACTAGCTTCTTTATAAGAAGAATGAAGACCTATAAGAAGATGGGGGCATCTACTGGAGTAAGCACCTAGAAGCCATTATTGAAGGATTGCTGAAGAAACTAGCAGTTGAAGAGAAATGAATGGAACCGATTCTCCTCTGAAATTGATGAGAGTGTATAGTCCTGCTGACACCTTAGTTTCAGACTTTTCCCCAAAATTGTGAGGATTTATTTTGTTAAGCCACACAATTTTTGGTATGTTGTTAAAGCTGGTCCTATTAGACTAATATAATGAGTAGTGGGCTTTGAGAGTATACTATCACTAATATAATGTACATTTAGTTATTTGTGAATTAGACGCAGATAATGTACCTTTAAAAAGCTTACACAAAAATTAGAGATAAAATGATGTTACATGCATAGACAGTACCTTTTGATTTTCTCTTGTGAGCCATTTGTTTTCTCTAGTTGGGTACACATACCTCACTTAGAAGACTGCTCCCCTAAAAGATGCAGATAATTAGTATAGCATAGTCATACTTTGAGCTAGACTAAATTTGAATTCTTTCTCTACCTTAAACTAGCTAGATGACCTAGGCACAGCAGTTTCTTATCTGTAAAATAAACATAAGTGCC